AAAATAAACGTAACGTAGTAGGGTGGGGTGGTCGGTACGGTACGTAGTACGTACTAGTAGGTAGGTAGTAGTTGTGACTTAATTTAATACGTCGTATACTCTCTCTCTCTCTCTCTCTCTCTCTCTCTCTATGTGTGTGTGTGTGTGTGCAAGCGTGCGCGTGTGCACATGTTACAATCATGTGGACAAACAATGACTTTGCACCGTTGATTGACATTTAGGCTTTGGCGCTCTATCAAGAAGTAACAAACCGATATGGTCAGTTGAAGCAGTCTGTAAGTTCCTATACACTGTTCTGTTTGTTTATATAGAACTATAGAAGGGAAGAAAGTATGTAATGAGTGTTCACAGGAATACATTGACCACTAAACCACTGCATCAGAATTCGCTTTTTTGTTTGATCTTTGAAAATTTACAGCTTCGGTATGGAAAATCATTAAGAATCCCGACATACAATTCCCCAATCGGGTCAAACGTCAGTTGTTTCTCTGTTTCTTGTTGGTAAAGAGTATCTTTTAGACAAACATTCAAAGCAACAAATTTTCACACCTAAGAGATGACTATTGGAACGTGAGACCTTCGTTCCTTGTCCCCCCCATCACTCCGTACCCTTCCTCTTTGCTGCTCTCCAGAAATCCTATCAGACTAAATCATGCTTCTCAAATCTCTTTCTTTGCACTTTAGTGCGCTAAAACCTTCAGTGAATATTCATTTGACAGGTTGATGAGCTTCTGAAAGAAAGGGACGGTGTGCAGTCGTCATTCACAACAGTTAAGCCACTAACTCCTGCCAGTAGCAGCAAGCCTATGGCTGAAGAATTCAAAGCCGAGAGCCCCACAACAGAGGACAGCGGATCCGATGGGAAGGACAAGTCGAGTAAGAAGAAATGGTTTAATATCAATTTGAAAGTCTCCGAAAAGAAGTCCGGCTAAATCAAATGAGTTTTTTAGTGAGAGCAAAATTCTGGGTCTATGAGAATGGGGACCAACTTGCAAGAATGGGGACCAACTTGCAAGAGTCTTTGCTTGCATGTGAAGGCCTTCCCCCCGCAAATGGTGGAGATTTGTTTTTTTACCCTTGCCTTTGTTGCACTTTTCCTTTTTATTTTTTTAGATGGGTTTCTTTTCCGATATTCAAAATTACTTCCATAAGCCGCTCATTGAAGGGAATTTGTATATTGTTTGGGGGAGTTGTCTGTCTTGTTCCGTTGGTTCATGTAGCAATATGTATCAATATTGTCCCTTTGTCATTCAAGTTTTGTACCGCACGTCTTTCAATTAAATTGTTTGATTAAATTAGAGCTTTGTTTTCTTGTGTGTATGGTGGATTGTCCATTGTGCAAAACTGAGAGAGAGGGTTTAGGATATGGATGGTTTTACAGAGAATAGGGGTGTCGTTCTGATCTTGAGGCTTTTCGTCGTGAAAGAAAGGGTTGCAGTTGAAGAGAGAGTGCCCTATTGGGGAAAAGTGAAGAATATTCATTTAGAGAGAGAGAGAGAGAGAATTGAAGAAAATCAGTGAAGTATATGGTGCATATTGATGCGCTCGTTACCAAAGGTTAGTGTCGATCTAGGTAATGACTGCTCTGAGCCTCTCACGGATGGTTGTCGAGAACTCGATACCAAAGAGGCCTCTGTTTGGTGTTTACTATTGATAATTACCAATTTGGGCTCCTATTGTGCTGAGTCTCTCATAGATTTGAGTCTTATGTCGTTTGTTGCCATACTCTATGTACTTGATGTTGTGTTTTCTGTCTGTTGATCCCTTTTGCTAATTCGCTACTCTGATCTCTCTAGCTTTGATTTTCAGTAAGGCATAATTATTGCCTCCTTTGCTCTCTCTGGCTTTGATCATTGTTTATTTAGCTGATCAAAGGGGCCATATCCATGTTCTCTGCCAATACTTTTGCTACTTCACCGCACCAGTGTTTCACATGACCACATGAATGAAAGTGCACAGTTGAATAGTCTCCGCTGGATGGAGAAGGTATTCTTATGACTCATTCACCATCTTAGGACTACTACACGGACCTCTTTTACTTTAATTGTAATTGGGAAGAACAACAGACATGTCCGAAGTTCGATGCGAAGTATTGTGGACAACTTGAATACATGAAGTTTAATTGTTCTGCTAATAAAAAAAAAAAAAGCCCTTTGTTCAGAAATTCACTCCACCAGACAGCATTGACTCCATTGCAAACCACGTCACCTACAAGTCATCTCACTACCGAAAATGTTCAGGTATTCTCAAACAAGTTATCTCTGGTATTGGTAATACATATGTAGTTGCTGGAGAACCTTAGGTACAAATATTGGTTCCGTAACTCTAGTGTCTCTAACCATATTATTTCCTTGGGATCCCATGTCTCTATTACTAATCCATATTGCAATAGTTAGCGTAGTTGAATCCTCTCAATTGTCCCTTCCTGGTGTGCTCTTGGTTCCCAAACCATCAATAAACATAATCTTTATAGGATAATTGTGCAACCAAGGTTTCGACATTGTATTTTTTCCTGTAGTTGTGTTGTGCATGATCACTTGACGATGAATAAAATTGGGTCAAGACATAAGGTTGGGAGATTATTTTTCCTAGGTTTGAGATTTTAGTATCAATTGTCAAGTTTAACTTTGTTCAAACTAAAAAATTGTCTGTTCTATTACTTAAACGTTGGCAACGCATATTGCACCGTCATTTCCTAATAACGAAACTACTTCCTCTTCAACTCTTGATCTTATATGGGGTCGTGCTCTTATTTTCATCTCGTTATTTTGTTATATTTGTTGATGACTTTTCTCCTTACACTTAGGTATTCCTATTTACATTATAAGTTGGAATTTTATCAAGTTTATGATGAAGTCTTTACCAAGATAAATACTCCGTTTTCAAATTATTAAAAAAGAAATTATGATTATGGTGGATAATATTTCTCTGGATCTTTTACAAAGCTTCTCAAGCTTCATAAATTATTGGCTCAATTGTCCTATCCTGACACACCACAGCAGATTTTTGTGACAAAACACAGGAATAGTCTATTAGTGAGACCACATATACCTTGTTACTTTCCTTTTCTATTTCACAGTAGTTCTTTGGAGAAACTATATGCACCCATGTTTATGTTGCCAGTTGCATTCTATCATTTCTTATAGGTGGCTTGTCTCACTTTTGACGATTTTATTCATCTAGTTCTGATAATTCTCCACTTTAAGCTTATGGTTCTACACATTTTGCTCCCTTTACTAAACTTGAATGAAATAAGTTGTCTAAAAAATCTACCATCTATGCATTTTTAGGTTATGGTATTCAACATAAAGAGTTTTGATGTTATGATCCTTTTTTACCAAAAAAAAAAAAAACTTATTTTATGTATGCCATATGATTATTTTTAGGAAAATGTACCATTTCATTCTCTTAGACACTTTCATTATCTCTGCAATTCACCTCATGGGTAAACAATTTTTCGATCCCATCGTTGACTTCATGGATTGGGATTCTTCTTGTCAGCCCTTTGTTGACTTGTTTGTACCCAATATTCCTCTCACTGACCCTCAAGATGACCTTCTAGGAAATAGTGAATATAATCACTATGTCCCAATTGCTCCCGAGCCCGGTATGCGCCGTTCTCCGGTTCTGTTTTCCTAATAGCGATCCATGGGAGATGTCCAACGTGTTATTTGTAAGTCAAGATGCTGAGATCACAGTTCTGAAAGCCAAAGTTAATAAAATGATTAATCAATCAACTCCATATTGTTAAAAGAACTTTGCACGATAATTGATTCTTAAAATGTAAGCTACTCTACCACTGTTTACATAATAAAGCTTCATTCATAAGAGAAATTCTCCTAATGCTCAGTCCTTTTTTTTTTATCCCATCCCAAAAGATGATATTTTTTATCCTCACCAAAAAATCCCCCACAAGAAGTTTCACATCATCTTGTCAATTCTCTTTACAACAACTCCACCAGGCATTTTAATAAGTTGCATTTGATAGATTGGTAGATTTGCCATGCATGATCTTAACAGAGTTATTCTACCACCTAAAACAAATACTTCGACTTCCATAAATCTAACTTAACTTCAACACGCTGAATGACCTTATCCCACACCGAAACAGCCAAACAAGTATTCGAGATGGGCAATCCCAAATAAGTGATAGGGAAAACATCAACTTTACATCCAAAGGGGTCGGCCAAAACCTTCACAAAAAAAAAATCATCACAATTAACACCCATCAAAGACGTCTTTGCAAATTTACTTTCAAACCCAAAACCACTTCATTGCAATTTAAGAATTTGCCAACGTTCTAGCGCTCCGAAATTTGAATTCCCATGAGAAAAATGGGTATTTGATGTTTTAAAGAGAGCAATATAATTTAAAACATGCTAAGACTCCAATTAAATGTTTTACTAGAGGACAACATGCTCGGAGCCAAATTCGCCCCTGCATTCCATATCATAAACACACATGTTTTTTATATTATATACTGAAAACGGAATAATTCCAAGAGATTAACCGTTCCATATCATAGAAACACATGTTTTTTATATTATATACTGAAAACGGAATAATTCCAGGAGTTTAACCGTCTATTATAACTTACATTGACCAAATAATGCAATAAAAGAAAATAAGGCCAACTACCATTCTTCGCAAGCTGAGACAAAACAGGCAATATGTTGTTGACCGAAAATGCCTCTTTCTTTCCCCAGTTTGTCGATCAAAATGGACTCTTTTTTTGCCCTCTTTATTGAAATTAAAATGCATCTTTTTTGCAAACCATCAGCTGTGCTAGCTAAGAATCACCAAAAACCAAAAGAAAGGTTAAGGAAACTCTGAAAAATAAGGTGAAGGTTTTGAAAAAGGATCTTGGAAATAGAGAAAATTAAATAATTAGAAAATGATAAAAAAATGAAGAAAAGGAAAAGAATGGTGGTGGGCATACTTGACAAGCCGAGCCCAGTGACCTAGTACCCAGAACTGGGGCCTGAGTCAGAGTTGTGGAGAAATGACCATTCTCGTCGTCTTTGAGAGAGCTAAGCTAATTGTTCTTGATTGTAGAGTTTTGTTGAAGTCAGAGAGGTCTTCAAGGCGAGGCTAGATCACAGTGGTCTGGGGTTACACAGGGTGGTCCGTATCTAGGATTTAGAAAGTTTAAAGTTGGTCTAAGGGTAGGAAAGATGGGTTGAGTTCACTAGAGTTGCAAGGAGGCCTAGAGGGTCTAGGGCTAGATTTATGTCGAAATTATGGTTTCTAAGGCCAAGGGAGAAAGAGATAAACTCAGAAGAGGCAAGTAAAATCACTAAAATTTGACTAAATATCAATATTTGGAGTTACCATATAGCAAAGGAGACTTCCTGTAAAGAGGGGCAAGGGCCTCCTGCATAAAGTAGCAAGACTTCCTCGACTTCCTCTTTAGAGAGAAGTGAGTTTTCTAGAGAGATAAGTATTGTAATAGTACCTCATGAGAGTGAGAGGTTCGTTTCTGGAAAACAAACGGTTCTTATAGAAATTTTAGGTAATTTTTCCTTTTAGTAAGAGGGCATCACAATTGCTTTTAAAGTTTTTTTCTTGGATAGTAGTTTAGTTGTGGAATAGATATGGGAGATCGATTAGGAGAAGAGGTTTAAAAGGATTACTCAACTTGATTTTGTCAAATGTTAGAGAGGCAAATATTTGTCGCAAAATTTGTGACGTAGCTCTCATTAATATAGTAGATTCCAGTTTATCATGTCTGTACATATAATCTTTTTGGGTGCACCAAGTAAATATTTGTAGTTTTATTATATATATTTCATGTTTTATTTCTCATATCCCCCAATTTGTACTTTTTAGGTATCTTCTCCCAACACTTTGATGCCATACTATTAACCTCAATACTATTTTTCGTTACAACCTCTTTCTGAATTAAAAAGTTAATTTTTTTAGATCAAAATACCCCTTATATCATCTTATGTTTCCAAAACATTACACCCAACATGTGTCAGTCTAACACAAGTTGAATCATCATCATCATCCAAGCCTTCCTAATTATGTGGAGTCGGCTATCGGCACAAGTTGAATAGGCATACAAAACATGTCGAACCAACTTTGTACAAGTTGTGCTGGTCTAGTACCTTTTGTACTGGACTAGCTTAGGGAGAGTGGGAATCAAGGCCAAAAAGAGGGTATTTTGGTAAAAAAGTTCAACTTTTGTATTTAGGGGGTTATCTATAATTTCCACTTGATTCTAGCTAATTATGTACACCATCCTTGTAAGATGCAAATTTAGGGTTTCCAATTTCTACTCTAAGAGGGTTCTTAAATCCTAAAACCCTCCAACAGTTAGAATTAGCCGGGGTAAGCTACATATAAATCTATATTTAATAAAGAACTAATATAATAAATAAAATGATTATAGATAAAATATAGGAATATATTAAAATACCTATAAAACATAAATTATTTGACATTTTATCCTATTACAATTATTCCACCTCACAAACATGTGTCATTTGATTTGTGTCTTGAAATTAAATCAAAAGATACGCGTAGAATGTTGAATACTCCATATTTTATTTTTCTTTTTTTTTGGTAATTCAATGGAGAAGACAGTCCCTACCTGTTTTTTAAAACAATTTAAGAGTTAGTTTTTTGAAAGTTTTAGTGGGGAATGAAAATCTCAACGTTGTGACTTATGAATGTTTAAATGAACTTTTCAATACAATACATGCTTAGGTCCGGTCCTGGCCATGGCCCGTTGGCAGCTCCATTCATGGGGCACGGGTCGACTCTGCAGAAAAGGAGGAGGGCCCGATCCATCGAACATTTGCCCTTTTCCAAAGAGACGTTTCCCTCCTGACCTAATCCACTTCAACTCAAGTGAAATATAACATAGACAGCTAAGGTGAAATACACTAATACACGTTCTGTGTATATTACAGGGCCTATTTGCCATCCATCCTATCAACAGAAGGTGGAAACGAGTTTTCGTATATTGAAGTCCACCATTTGCCATCAGCGGAAGACCGGCACATCTCCATCATCCGTTCATGAGGATGGATGGTGGGATGGCCATATTGTGCACCATATACTATAATCATAACATATGCAGCCCTGCAGTCTGTATTAAACTCAGAAGCATTACTTAAATCTAATCCCTTTGCTAACCAGCAATGAAAGATCTGAGTTACAGTGAGAAACAGAGGACTAATATAGAGAGAAAGAAAGAGAGAGAGAGATAAAGAGAGTTGTTGTCAGAGAGAGAGAGAGTTGTTGCTGACAACTTTAACTTACTTTCATAAAAAATAAATAATAAATAAATTTACACGAGCCGAAAGGCCCGAAACAGGCCCAAACCACCCTCGCCTTCAATTGTAAACACCACCCAAAAGCCAAGCCAGCATCTCTGTTCAGGAACCTCGTGTGGCAAGACTGAGATGCAGATCCAAACCCCCATCCTGCTCCGACAATACACAACCCTCCACAGCACCCTTTTCCGGTATCAACCCTGCCTCCTGAAACCCGCCATACATAACCGGGCCGTAACCATACACACCCCCGGGCCCGGCAGGAAAAACGCAGGGGGACCTTCCGGAAAACGCACTGGCAGACGACACGTAAACCCATGATGGCGGGCTCCTGCTGTCTGAAAACATCATCGGCGACGGCGACGGCGACGGAAAACCTTCGCCAGAAAATCCCCCGGCCGCAACACGCGTGCCGTGCGGCGTCAGGATTCCTGTTGCAGCAGGGATTTGCTGGTAGGCGTAGCCGCTCAATCTGGTGGCGGCAGAGTTTCTGCTCGCCTGTATCTGAGCTCTCTTCACTTGCTGTCTCTCCTTTTTGTGAGCATTTTGGTGGCCTCCCAAGGCCTGAGAGTTTGCAAATTCTCGACAACAGTACTGGCACTCGTATTTCCGGCCATCGGTGGCCGGAACACCGCCGGATTCTGACGAGTGGTGGCCGGAATTCGATGGCCGAGAGTCGACCTCTTCGTCCTCCGAGACTTGGAACCCGAAGAGCTTCAGCGGCGTGGAGGCGGGCTTGGGGCGGTGCGGTGGTGCCTCGGTGCAGTGGACCACTGGGCTTTCTGCCATCAGCTTCAATCAATTGGGTGGGGTGGTGCAACTTGCATGGTGCATGATGTCCATTTATATAAGCTCAGATCTTAGAGAGAGAAACATTATTGTTTTTAGAGGGAGGAAGAGAGAAATATTATTTGTTATTAATTTATTATATATTATGGGTGAGAGGGTACACGTATGAATGGAATGGTTTTTTTTTTTCCTTATTTTGCATTGGAATTTTTTTATTAGTAGACCACCGCGTGGTCTCACCATTTCAATTGCAAACCCACGCAAAAACATCGTGGACCTTCAAACAAAATGATAGGGTGTGGGAACCCCTGTTTTTGGGGTGGGAATATTAAACTCCTTAGAAGCAATAAAAAAAGGGAAAAGGAATTAGGAAGTGGCGTACGAATGAGACTTTGAAGAAAATTAGTTTATCGAAAGACTTTATGGCAAACAACAAGAAGATATTTCGATGGGACTGCACTCTACCCAAATAAAAGCCTCACCTCAAATGCCACCAGAGTTTATAGTTTGGACTTCTATATGCCTCGGCGGTTATAAAAAGAAATAGGGTTTTAAGGCCTATAAGTAGCACATATTATAACATAGATTAATGATCTTATCGGACCTTCTTCAACTCATGTGTAAGACTCCAAAGGATCATTGTTAAATTTGATACGGATCTTTAGAAAAGTTATCACATGGGTGTGGGACTTGATTTTTCTATAGATATGTGTCAAATTTAATGGTAATCCTTTGAAGTCCTAAATACATGGATAGAAGAGGGTCCTATACGATCACTTTTCTATAATATATTATCTAAATTGTCTATTTTACCTTAAATATAAGTATTTACAATATCTATATTATTTTTTTAGTTTCAAATTTTATAATCAAGATTGTAAATTGATTTTAAAGCCGAAGAATTTCAATGCCTACAATGCTTTCTTCATTGCCTACAATGCTTTTTGGATAAGGTGGATAAGGTTGTAAGGCGAGGTTTTACTTTGTTTTCATAAAACTTAGATATTATAAAAAAGGACACTTTTCTATGAGTTCAGGGACTCACATGTATAAATACAGGCCCCTTATTAAATTTGAAATAGAATTTGACTTTAATTTTTAGGGAAAATATAATCTTTAACCTAGAGATTATTAATTTGTAAAAATAAATAAATTTTAAAAACTAAAAAAAATATTTTATAAAAAAAATACTTGAACTGTTGATTTTACTCTTTTTTTTTGTCAATTATTATTTATGGGACCTAGTTTTGGTGAACGGGATAGATATCCAAGCCCGCATAACATCAGGTGCAGACTCGAATGCACCAAATAATTTTCCTATAGAAAATACATCCAAAGAAAAAAACAAAAAAAGTTCATTATTAAGTGTAATATATTGCGGATATTACATTAAAAAAGAGTGTGAAAATAAAGAAATGAGTTGGTCGGAGTATGTGAAAGTGTGTACGTTTTGTCATTGGGAAAATAAACGTGTCCGGAACAAGTGGAGTACCTCGACACTTAGATTGCGCTTGTCCCATTCTTTTTTTATTATTTTTTAATAAAGAGAAGATAATTTTCCTTTTTTAATTTAATTTAATAATAAATTTGAAATTATGAGAAACCTAGAGAAGCTTGCTTTTGGCTTGGCTCGACATCATCCATTTGGCTCGGCTAAATAGTGGATAAAATGCCAAAGTGGATGTGTACTATGGTCACGTGACTATACAAAATTTACATCAAGTTTCATCACCTCTTGAATGGATTGGCCGTGATGGCGAGAGAGTGCACTTGTTCATATTTGTGTCCCGCTTTCTCTATCACCGTTTTTCCATCAATTTGACATAGATGTGTGATATATGTGTTATCAAGAGATATATACATATACATATCCATACTCATACTCATATTGATGATATGTCCATGCTAACCATATGAACATGAATTTTCTAGGATCTATGCATCATATTTGCTTGATGATTTATTTCTAAGAAAAGTATACAGTCCACATCATGCAGATGGCCGAAAGGGTGTAGGGCCCTTCCAATGGTTGAGATCTCACAAGGCTATAACCAATGGCCCAAAATTAGATTCATATTTTGTTTTTTATTTTTATTTAAATAAGATATAATCCGAATTTTGATGTGTAGATATATTTTTATGAATATAACTAAAATAAAAATAAGTAAAATAATATAAAAAATAATGGGTTGTAGGTATATATTTATTAATATAACTAAATAAAAATAATTTAAAAATAACTAAAATACCCTAATACTTTTACTAAAATTCGTATATTGAGAGAGAGAGTGTGTGAGAGAGGGAGGTAAGAGTCACTATCAAGTACATTGACAATCAATAACAAGAAAAACAAAGAAATGTTGTCAGATTCGTTTTCAGAATCTTTTTTGGTTTTGGTGCTTCAATCGATTTGCGAGAAGATTTCAAACTTATTTATTTATTTACTTTAGTATAAATAAATTAGATATTTATATATGTAATATATATAAATAACATTAAAAACTAAAAGTAAAAAATATACATTTGTATAACTATTTTTTTACTGGCTGAAGCCGAGTTTGAATTTGACTGAAGTAGGCCGAAGCTATTTAAATCTGACTGAAGAGACAACACCATGATTCGCTTCTCTTTGGTTTATGCCTAAAATCCAAAGGCTTTGGCCCTTTCGGTTGAAGTGAAGTGAATTTGATAACATTGGCAACAACCCTTATGTAATATGTATGCACGGAGGGATAGAGAACAAGCAAAATGCGGAAAAAAAAAAAAGAAAAACAAAGAAACAAATATAATGAATCATCATCATCAGAGTAGTTTTTTAATTAGTTGAAATCAGCTACATAAATCTTAGTTCGTCATGATGTCAAGGGCCATACTTATAGTGATGCCATAAGTCTACATATATTTTCTCAATACTTCAAACCATGTGTTTTTTGAGCCTATTTTTATTCGTTTTAAGCTTTCCACTTGAATTAACTTACACGTATTAACAAATATTATATCCGGTCTCATTGCATATAGTCCATTCACCTAATTTTTTATATTTAATATTGACCAAAACACCATTTATGTACTAACCAGTGTTTGAAAACTCACCGAGTCGAGCCGAAATCGCCTGGTTCAACTCGAGAATCGTCGGCTATCGAGCCGGTTCCATGAAAAATCGGGAATCGCCCGTGTCCAGATAGAACATGTTTTTTTGAGCCTATTTTTACTCTTTTTAAGCTTTCCACTTGAATTAACTCACACTTATTAACAAATATTATATCCAGTCTCATTGCAGATTTTTTTGAGCCTATTTTTACTCTTTTTAAGCTTTCCACTTGAATTAACTCACACTTATTAGCAAATATTATATCCAGTCTCATTGCAGATAGCCCGTTCACCTAATTTTTTATATTTAATATTGACCAAAATGCCATTTATGTACTAACCAGTATTTGAAAACTCGCCGAGTCGAGCTGGAATCATCCGGTTCGACTCAGGAATCGTCGGCTAACGAGCCGGTTTCACGAAAAAATTGGGAATCGCCTGTGTCCAGAGAGAACCGGGCGATTCCTGGCGATTTACTATGATTCCCAATAGTAAAATCGTGAGTCTCACTGAATATTTTTGGGTTCACACGTGGCCGCCTCACGAGAACGACACGTGGCACGTCCAAACCCTCCACGCGTAGCAATTCACCTCGCTCGTATGCCCCCCTCGCTTTTCTACACTCGTGTGTGAATGACTGGTACACAACACTTTATAGAGAACAAAGGGTCTCTCATCCTTCGATGTGGGATAATTCTCACAAAAAGCCATTCAAGCATGATGATTCAATATGTATTATATTATAGTTACTAACGAAACACATCAAGCGATGTGGTGGTGGTGGTGGTTGACAACCTTGAATTTTCGAGCGGGCGTCTTGAGTTCGAACCCCGCACATCGTCGTTTATAATACAATATT